AAGGTAATCCTCCCCAGGGGCAATAGATTTCCCAACCTTAATTGTCATTAATGCTATCCCAAAAGCTACAGCTCGTTCCACAGATCTCCATTAAGGGGAGAAAGTTATCTAGAAATTTCTAGATTGTTAAATGATGGAAAAGATCCCTTACAGTTAACACTTTCGCGCTTAGGATTATCCATGAGTCGTCACCGTTTTTTATGCGTCACCGCATAACAGACGACGCCTGTAGTCCATCGAAAAAATATTTGTATAAAATCCATTTATTATCCGATCAACTTGGGAATAGTATACAAATTTTTGCCATGAAATTTACGTTTTCTCTAATAGCCGAACAGCTTATAAAAGAAAACGGTGTGGCAGTGAATCATCGTGGTAAAACAATTGTATTATTGACACGACGAGTGTAATCGACGTAGTTTTTATATATGTTGCCGGTCGAACGCATCCTTATGTGACCTTTAATACTTATGTTCTTATAGAACATTCTATTGCGAGCACATTGGTACAAAAATGAAATACATACATCGACAAATAATGTCAGGACAGTGAATTGAATATACACTTTTCAAAGCGAGTTTCGCCGATATGTTGCCGCGGGTAACACTTCGGCCACTTCCCACATTGTTTTGGGTGGGCTACGACATTAAATCTATATTTATATGTCCGTGTAGAGAATTTTATTGCGATTCCAATGATACCACAATTAGCGATGTAGGACAACTGTAGGCTTCGCACCCATTAAGAGAGTGGAAACATTTTGTTGCTGTTTGGCGCTCTTGGCGAGTGATCTTAATAGTTTTTTATTTGGTGTTGACAGTCCTTATGCTTGGGCGCCATTTTATAGGTATGCTCTTATAGACAATTTCATTGCGAACACAGTGATACCAAATTTAAATACGTGCGCCTTCAATTATTGTCAGGACAGTAAAAAGAGTGTACACTTTTTCGGTCTTACCGCGTAGGCGCGCGAAGTGCCTAAAGCATCTGGGGTATTGTTTTTTTTTGAGAGCCGAGAGCGCGAAAGTGTTAATACCTTTGTCAGGAAGACGATGGTTGGTAAGGAGCGGTAGTGTAGAGCGGCTGTTAGATCAGTGGGATTCTCTAACAACTCATTACCAAATAGCTTTTTTCCTCTTGTGATAAATATGTTGCAAGGCAACTATTTTCAATGTACGCTGATCCCTCCAATAAGCTATATTTCACATGTCTCAAACCAATCCTAAATTATTTTGAAAGGATGAATTTACTTTATCAAAAAGATGAAGCAGATCAGTATAGCCTTCACACTGTCTTAGAAAACTTCACTCTTGGAATACTCAGAAGAATCGTTCGTCCTCATCATGCAAAGCTTCATGTTAATTTGGACTACAATTCTATGTATCTGCCCCGGGAGAAAGTTGACTTTGGTTACGAATTTTCAACACTTCTGGCCACTAACAGACAAAACAATTTTATAACCCAGGAAAAGTTTCAAAATATTCAAGTAAGCTGCGATAATTTTTTAATGAAAGCTTGCAAATAGCTTCTTTCTCGAATTCTAAGTAATGTTGAAGGTGAAAATTCTGTTACCTATCATATGCCTTAGCCACACATGGCCACCATTTTCAGAACTTCCATTAGTATTAGCTGACCAATCTAAGCTTAGTAAAATTGAAAGACAGTGGCGCCTACCGTTAAACATTAACTAGTCCAACATTTGTAAGGGACAAATTCCGACATCTGAATCTTCATTTTAAACCAAGACAATAACTGTCAAGTACACTGCTGGCGATCCTATACTGATTGACCTCGCTGAGTTTGCACTGAAAATATACAGCTTGCCAATCAGTAATGCCCTGATTGAACGGATATTTCGAGAGTAACTTCTGTGAAAATTAAACTGAGAAATCTTGAATGGGAATGGGACTTGAGCTTTTGACATCAGTCTTGAGAATCAAAACATACCTTGAAGAAAATGTAACTTGTTGCTCGTCATTCTAACCACTCATGTCAATGCTTAAATATGAGTCTGCAATATACAAGAACGAGGTTGTGGATGCAGATCAAGATCTTGGTAATCTTCAACTGTAAAGACGTGGAAGGACTCCACACCCATTATGCTTCAAACAGTAAATATTGGTAAGTTATCCTATTGGTTAAATATATAATATATATATATAATATATATATATATATATATATATATATATATATATATATATATATATATATATATATATATATATATATATATATACACATATATATATATATATATATACATACATACATATATGCAGAGATAATATTAATAAAACAATTAAAATCGTTTAATGTACTCTATATATCAAAATAGATTACTTTGAAATCCGTATCAGTCACTAAACGAAAAATTGGGCTACTCTTATTACAAATTCGCTACTTTTAGACCGTCAGCTCGCTACTTTTAGCAATTTGGATCTGGCAACCCTGCTCGGGAGCCGTGGATGGGACGCTGGATGTAGCCTGCTCTCTGGCTGGCGTTCGTGGTGTCGAGATCTCCTCTGAGCTGCTCTGCAACCCTCTACCTTTTCTCCTCCTCTTTCCTTCCCTTACCTTGAATACCTGTAACACTAAGTTAAGTACGGTGTTGTTAAGTGTGCCTACTCTGGAAGTGAAAGATTTGTGTAGACCTGGGGTACTATTTGCCAGTGTTTTGGGTACCCCTAAGTGTTGTGTTGTGTTAGGGTACCACGTGGTCTCACTACCCTAAGCTGCCTCAAGCTTCAGGTTCTTCACTAGTAGTACTTTACCCTAGCTTGTTCTCAGTGTAAACCTTGTATCCTGCTTATGTGGACCAAGGCTTTTAACGTAAGATTGTGTGGTAAAGTTATTATTGTTATTGGTGTGAATGTATATGGGGGGTTGTTAAGGGGTTAATAAACAAGTTAGTTAAAGGAGTATCCATTCTTCCTGTGTAGGAGATCTATGATCAACCTCTAGACTGACATTATCTTGTAGCCAATTAATATTCACTGTTGTTACTTTTATTTGGGGGCCGGGCCTTGCTGATCTCCGCTGCTAGAGATACATCTTTATTCTAACTACTGCCCCTACTTCCATTTAATACTAGATTCCCCATAGAACTTACTCCTATTTATAACAGTGTCCACCATCACCGTCCCTTTCTGTGTCACCAGCACCGTCTCTTTGTGTGTCCACCATCACCGTCTCTTTGTGTGTCCACCATCACCGTCCCTTTCTGTGTCCACCATCATCGTCCCTCCCTCTCTCCACTCACAGTACCATCCCTCTGTCCACCAACACCACCCAGAAATAAATTTTTCTATTTAGTGAATAAATACACTATTTTATTTTGTATAAAAAATAAGGCAAGATCCTGAAGAACTGTGGGAAGCAGAGTTTTCTAATACTGTACTGTACTCAATTCCTCTGTTCTCCTTCCTGTAAATGGGTACTCGGGAGTTGGGCAACTGTTGTGTTGAATCCTTGGGAATGTTAGGCATTTACCGAGGCTCTAGGCTTTAGGGTGACCTCAATAACTCTTAGGAAGCTTCTTGTCTCTGTTAGTGGAATATTTTTCTACAGACAACGTTATTTCCGGGACACAGTTTATACCCACCGTGTTCTTCTCAAGACATATTTCCCCTCTACATTCTTAGGACTGAGAACTAGAAATGCTTTTTCACTCAGTTATAAACCCATGGAACCGCCTACCCGCCGAAACCGTAAATGCCAAAACTCTCTTAAATTTTAAAGTCCAACTGGAAAAGATCATCAAGGCAAATGGGGGAACCTTTGACAAGCCGCCGGATTCCTGTCCTCGTCGAGGCCACTAGTGTTAATGGCCCTCAGGTAAATTCAGATAAATTCAGGTGTGGCCTATTATTTTTTTTCCTACTTCAAATCTTACACCAATCTCATTCTCTAAACTACTCCAGAAAATCCTTGCTTTCATTCTCATTTGTCATCTCTATGGAAATGCAGTCATTATCACCATCTTTACCCTTAATTTTTTTAATTTCATGCACAATCATCTTGAACTGTAACATTGAAAAGTCACTTAATGGATTGCTGCATATATAAGATATTTATCAAGGTAAAGGTACATACATTGAAAATTAGTTATAATCAATGTCAGATTAATAGATAGCTAGTACATACAATGCCCGAAGCCACTAATATGCACAGTATTTCGGGCACCTTTCCTTTCATTCCAGTTCACTAGTTGTTAAACTTTGTCTAACATAAACCTAAATCAAATTTTCACCACTTGCCATTTTTATTTTATTCTTCTAACATTCCACACAACAATATGTACCGTTTTCTGGTGCCTGGACAGGTGCAAGTCCCAGATTTTACCTGAGGACCACTAGCACATTAGTGGCCTCAACAAGGCCACTAGTGTGTTAGTGACTTGTCAAAGCTACTAACACTTGTCAAAGGTTCCCCCCCCCATTTGCTCTGATAATTTTTTCCACTTGGAATTTAAAATTTAACAGAGTTTTGGCATTGGCGGGTAAGCAGTTTCATGGGTTTATAACCCTGTGGGTGAAATAAATTTGGGGTAAATTTTGCCATATGTGTTGAAGAATTTGTTGATTTCCAAGGACAATCCCTCAACTCCTTTATTGCAGGGACTGCCGGTCTGATTACCCCACATGAGTAGTGTAACGTCTTGTGGGGCTCAGATCAGAAGTCAATTTTGCCATTTATGGGAAAGAATTTGTTAAGATAGGTTTGCAATGCAATTCCTATACATAGTAGTGAATGGTGGTGTCGCCCCATTTATTGGTTAATGAGAAGCTTGTTTAACACACACAAATTATTTATCCAACACGTTGTCATGCCCAACTGGTTGCTGACGCAATACAATTCCCATTAATGTATTCATTCTGTTACTCTGCATAAGCCACAAAGACAAAACATTGAATAAATTGGTCTATGTTCAGCATTTTAGGATTAAAACACTAGATGCTGTATAGGATTTTTTCCAATTATATTGGGTAAGAAAATACTTGTGAAACAGACATCAGTTTTACTCCAGAGGACTCTGGTACACTGAGAGGGTAGAACATGGTATACAAGGCAATACCTAGTACCTGTGGAAAGAATGTGGTACATGGGTGAGAGAATATACAGTGGACAAGTGAACAGAGATGTGGTGCTTGGAAAGGATGAGGTAAGTTTCATTATTGAAAAGGGTTAGGAAGATAAGTGTAGGCCCCACCTGTATATGGCACATGAGTGGAAAAAGATGCATCCTATGGGTGGTGGAGGGATGCTGCATGTGGATAGTGGAGGGATGCTATCTTGAGGATCTTGAGATAATTTCGGGGCTTGGCGTCCCCGCGGCCTGGTCCTCGACCAGGCCTCCTTTTTTGTTACACACCACCAGGAAGCACCCCATAGCAGCTGTCTAACTTCCAGGTACCTATTTACTGCTAGGTGAACAGGCTCATCAGGGAGACAGAAATTACCCATTAAATTACCAGCCTCCACAGGGGGATCGAACCTGGAACCTCAGGATTACGAATCCGAAGCGCGGTCCTGTTTGATACCTGGTCCATTCAGCTGTCAGGCCCCCCCACATGTGGGTAGTGGAGGGATGTTGCATGTGGAGATGTATGTACTCATAGGTGGATAAGAGTTATGGTATGTGAATAGGGCAGGATCTGCGTGTGTTATTTTAGCAGGAAAAGGTTCGTGCAGGACAGAAAGAAAAGTAAATGAGTGGAGACATTCTCAAAAGCTGTGTGTGTACTTGTATTGGGAAGTATGTGAAAAATGAGCAGGGAAGGATTCAGCACATGGGTGGGAAGATACATGGCACTTTGTTTAGCAGGGTTATGACACACACAGTATCTTGTAGCCTTTCCTTTGTATATGTGGGGTGTGGTGCTGGGTTTGGAAAGTATATGGAATAAGAGTATGAATGGAGGGCAAGACATTGGATTAGGAGATAAATTTCCATAAAACAGACCCACCATATATGACCATACAATGGTTAACAAGAAATATCAGATATATCCAATGTATGTTGAATTTTTAAATTCTTGTTTATATTACAAAATATGATTCACTCGGATAACACATTCAAACTCATTATCCAAATGACATAATTACTCATAAAAAAATGTTGAATGCAATTACATGGTTATTCATGCACATATCAACCAAAGTGAATAAATATTAGCAGATTTAAAAGATATTTCTAGTGCCTAGATGATGATGGGTCTGCAATGGATGTAACTGTACAGTCAGTGATTTATGGCAAGGGAAACAATGCTTTTGGCACATGAGAAACTCATTATATAGGAAATACATGGGCAACATATTGTGCATAGATGATAATAATGACATACAGTACTGTACTCTTAGGCAGAAATCCAGATTCGTGGATGAGTGGAGTGGAGCCAGATTCATAAGTTAAATAAAATTCCACTGAGTTACCCAGAGAAGCAGAGCATTGGAGTATTGGATACTTTATTAAGGAATCTTCAGAGGCTGAATCACATAGAAATTGAGTGTTTTCCATCTTAATTTCCCTGCCATTAGATTAACCTAACATGGAACAAAATCCAATGAGTAAATGTACACATACATACACACACATACATGAAACACAAGACAATGAGGGTTTTGTATACATGCCACATGGAACTATCACGCAGTCACATGAGTAATACACGGACTCGTATGTTTTGGTCCAGCACAAAAGTAATCCTTCACTAAGTCTGACTTAGAAAGACAGTAAGTCAACATGGTACACAACTAAGCAAAGAATAAGAGAAGGGAGAACATAGCAACAGTATTAACATTTAGGATAGTGGGCACGTGTGTAAAAGACCCATAAACCGAATTAGCTTTTTTTAACTTGACATTGTTGAGGATACTAAGATAAATGCCAAATTTCTATGTTAGTTTATAAGTACAGTACATGCACTGTTTCCATTAACTTTGCATTTATATCTAATGGTTTTGGAGGAGCATCGGTTGAAAATTTCACTGATGGCATTAACACGACGACTAGACAACATCTTCACCATTATTCTTATCAGTTACTCACAGGGTTTTTCACTCTGTATGATAGATAAGTTTTGGTTCATCACATGTTAACCTTTGCTTAAATACTTATTTCACTCTAAACACTTGGTTTGCTCTGCCATCTTCAACCATCACCCATAATTAATGTGTCACTATTATATTCACAAATTTTAGAACAGAGCATTTGCAGTTAAAACATTGCTTTCAACTGTCGGAGAACAGCAGAGATATTTTACTGCATAAAAAGCCTTTAAAACACTTTCTCCGGACTTATTCATGCAGAAGAAACGATCAAGAGTCTAGTTGCTCAGTAAACAGTCATTTGACTATAAAACATATATATACTGTATATATATAAATAGTTATTCAAAATCTCTATTTGTGGTATATTTCACATTTGAGTTCTACCAACTAGCACAGGTTAGTAAGACTGCTGTGACCAGATGATCTTCTGTATGTACATTTGATATGGCATTATGTCACCACCTGGCCCAACACTATGTACAACTAAAGCTTGGCTTGTCTCAAATAAGTTAATGCATTAGGAAGCAATACGATGCATCCACTGTGCCTGATGGACACCATGTACCTGGAGCCCGCACAGTGCATCTCTGAGGTCACTGCACAGCTGTCTCTGGTGGAGTGTTTGATTCAGGCTTCGAGCAGTAAAATCTTTTATGAGCTAAGAATGATTCTGTATAGGAAAATGTAATGTTACAAGTTTTACAATAGCGTGGCACTTCTGCACCATTGTTGCTGGTAGATCCACTGCTCGTAACTTCAGGTATAGTTTCATTATCCGTTGGGGAGTGAGGAGTGGTTGGAGCTGTATTAATTTTATCATCACCTTCGTCTACTTCAAGTTTAACTTCAGGCTCCAACTTAACAGCTGGTAATGGAGGAGAGCTTACGGGATTCCCATTCTCTACAGGGTCACGTCTTTCTGATTCTCCAGTAGTTGAAGCCTCTGAAGATTCCACAACATGGCCTTCAAGAAGTGCTTGTAGATCTTGAGTGAGCTTAGCATCAAACCCAACTTTATGTACCAAAGCTAAATGTCTTGCCAAATTGTTGCGGAAAGGTGTCACAAAGGGACAGAAATGGCAGGAGAGGGGCTGATCAGAACAATCTGCAGCTCCCTCTGCCAAAAGTGCAGAAAGTGTTGGGTTCTCCAAAATAACTCTGGGCAGGTCGGCTACACCTCGGGCCTCTGCTGCTCTGCGACTTCCATCATCTTCGTCAAGAATGCAAGATATGAAATTTTCTTCTTGTAAGTCATTAGTCCTTTTTTCAAAGTGCATTCTAATGTGTGTACGCATTCCCCGTAGCGTATTTCCACGGTAACCACAAATTGTACAGCGAAATCCTTTAATCCCAGCATGGGTTTCCAGATGTTTCTGAGCAGCTGCTGCAGTGGGGGAAATTATAGGGCAACAAGGACACTTCCAGCCATGTGAGGGAGCAGGAGATGGTGTCACACACTGATGAGCTGCTTGTAGGGTTTCAGGCATTGCACATCGGCATCTGGGACAACGCCACAGTCCTTTCGTTATGCCTTCATCTCCTGATGCTCCCTCCCTTTTGGGGCAATAGTAAGTTTGATGCGCTTTTAAGTTGTCAGGCGAGGTGAATTTAATGCCACAAGCTGTGCAAATGAACTGTAACAGAGGTTTATTTGGTTTTGGTGTGTCTTTTGTAGCAGAAGCAGAAGCCTTGGCAGCAGAAGGTGCTACACCTTCTGGCAGAGCTGTGGGAGAGCGTCTGGAAGAACCAGCTGCACTTTCACCTGCAGCTGCAGGACTCCTGCTACCACTCGCACGATGGTCATCATCACCTCTGCTTACAGTACGTGCTGCACAATAATGTTTCTTATGTACTTGTAAATTTTCTTCTTTATAAAAGACAATATTGCACTCATTACACTTTGCTTCACCTTGTTTGACAATAACTGGTGGATTTGGAATGGGTGCTAAACCATTCATGAGCAAATCAGAATTGAGTATTTTTAGAGCTAATTCTGGAGGAACACCCTGTAAGCCCTGAAGACTCGCAAGAGATAGACCACTTAAGCTTTCTAAGCTTGCTAAAAGACTTGGAAAACCAGGGGGTAGCTGGGGAAGCCCTGATGGAACCTGAGACGGTTGCCCAGGAGAACGGGCAGAAGTAGAAGGTCTTGGAGAATCTGCCAAACCTCTTGGAGAACCTACAGTAGGAGCTGCAGATGCTGGGCGAGGAGAACGTGGAGTGGAGTGACCCTCTGTTTCACTAGATGGTGATGGTCGAGGTGGTGAGGCCAATAACTTTCCTTCAAACTCTCCAGCTCCATAAGACCCAAGACGTAACCTAGGAACTGGAGACTTTGTAGGAGTTGGAGTGTTGACTTCTCGATTCTCTTTTTCTTCATCACTTAATAGGTCTGTCTTGACAGTTAGCTTTGGCCGTTTTGTAGTTAGGTCTAGAGGACATTCGCCTTCCCCACGTCTCTTCCCTGATATCTCTCCACTAGCCTTTAGTCTTGGTTCATCTTTAGGTGAATGTTTCGGTGGTGAAATTTGATTTGATCGTGGGGAAGTTTGTGGTGGAAGACTATGAACAGCAGGAGATGTACCCCTAGTAGCAGCAGCAGATGGAGATAGAAGTGGGGGAGGTGCAGGACCAGTTAAGGGACCTGGTGATAAAGGTTGCACTTGACCATTGGGAAGAACAACTGCAGCTCCAGCCTGGGGTAGCACATGAGGAGGCAGAAGCTGTGCTCCTGCTACCAGTGAGTATGGCACTAACAATATGGGATTGGTGGGAAGAGCCAAAATTGGCTGACCACTCCCTGCTGCTGCACTGACCATTCCAGCTAAAGTGTTTGCTGCACTACTTGTGCCTGGATCTTCACGTGCTGGGCTCTTGTTTCCACCTTTAAGAACGTGTCGAGTCTGGCAGTAATGTACCTTGTGAACGCGGAATGTCTTGACTGATGAGAACTGAATGTCACAGTCAGAGCAGTACCGATCTGTGGCTCGGGTGTCACTTAAAGTGACCTGAGGGTTGGAAGATGCCGTCTGTGGACTACTGCTAGCCTTTGCAAGGTCCTCTGGGCTAGTATGAATATTCATATGACCATTGAGGCTCAATTTGTGGGTGGTGGTGTATGGACAGTGTGGACATCGCAGCATTCTTCCCCCATCTTCATCTTCAGTTCCAACTCCTCCACCTTCACTTCGTGGGCTAATGCCAGGAGGAGATGTTCTCAACTCTTTATTTATACCATCACAATCTGAAAAAAGTCATAATATTAATTAATAGAGCTCTAACATTGCTGGCAATCACTCATTTAATAACTGAATAATTGGCACTGTGTATTAGGTAATATGGTGTCTGATGGCAATTAAAATTCACAGTTACTGGTATTTAAGACAAGGCAAGTAAGGAGATACTTATTTGCTGAAAACACATTATATCCATTAATGATATTAATCCAGCAATGTTATTGTATATTAAATATTCTAAATATGGGCATTGTTTCCACAAACTGCATAAAGTACATTTCCTGAGTTAGACTAAAATTTGAGAGCCTTTTCAACATTATCATTACTAAAAAAATAAATGCTCATGATCTTTTTTCAATTGTTTCTCAGTTAACAAAGAATGCAGTGTTGGTGAGTATGTATAGAATTATTATAGGGATTGACACATTGAGGGGGTCAGAGTATGCAGCTATTGTAATCATTCAACATGTAGATGATCAGTGATGAATGATGATGTATACTGTATATGGGTGAGCTTGGAGATTACTTTATAAATTGACCTGAGTGGCAGAATGCTTGGGATGGATGTCATCCATGTTGGATGGGGATGTATGAAAGAAGAGCAAACATAAGGTTCCAGAAGTAATAGGAAAAAATGGAGAGCTAGAAATGATAAGACATATATGTAGGGTTCCAGGAAGAACAAGCCTTTATGGGGGGTTTCTGGAGTGCTAGGAGAATGCAAAGCTCTGCCTTCAACAAATTAAACACTCAGCCAGCTTGACCTTAAGCCTGTTGGCTGTTCAGAGTGAAGCACATTGTGAAGGAGCGGATGGCAGTGAACCATCGTTACTAGGATCCTGAAAAACTCATAGAAAACTGTCCCATATGACTAACCTATATCCAGAGTGAAGCAATCTCCAGTCAAAAAAAAAAAAAAAAAAAAATACATCTGGGACACACAAATTAGAGACACTCAATCAAAATTCCAAATGTACCAGTGTACCAAACTCAAAGCCAACGAGATGAAGTACACTACTAAGCAAGTACAAACATCGAACTTGGGAACAAGAAGGTCACCACCTATCTAGGAATTGGTCCCTGACATGAAGAGCAGTCAGGATACATGTAGAGTTTGGGGGTTTACTCAGTAGCTTCACTAGCTAACTGCCTGATTAGCTCAGGAAGTCACAAAGGGGAACCCTCTCAGCAAAAAAAACACAAAAAAAAATACATGGTGTGTGTATACAGGGTGGAGGGAAAATTGGTATAAGGTGGAAGTGGAGCAGGAGAGGTTAGGAGGAGGATACATTAGAGTTGTATATGGTACGAGGTAAAGAAACGTTCTAATGTTTCAGACTCTAGGATGCCTGGTAAGAAAAACCACTGGAATGAATATCTTTTACAAACTATAATTTAATAATTTCCTGGACTACTAGCTTCAAATAACTTTAAGCCAATCAGTGAAAACAAATGCTGTAACTAGTTTTCCAGTTCCTTATTAGTTTGGAACAGCAAACATGGATACATAATGTACCGTACTGAGATTTGTCAGTAAGTACGAGAGTACTGTACAGTATACAATGTATCATACCAGCTTGATTCGGTCGGTGAGTGCAGTAGAACATGCGATGAGCCTCCAGATTGGTAGCACTGCTGAATCTAATCCCACACACACACATCGTGCCGCCACTGCTCCCACTCTCACTGCTTGTCGTACTTGTGTTAATACTGCTCAGTCCTGATGCCAGGCTCACAACTGCTGAAATATTGCAAAATATCTAAATTCAGAGATTGCAAAATGACCATAAAGTATATTATGAAAAATGTATTCAATATTTGTGTTTTATATTTGTAAATGATGGGTGATGGGTGATGGGTTTTCAAAGATTAAATTATAAAAGGATTACCTATGCTGTGAAGTAATGTGTACTTATAAAGTGTAGTATTTTAATGAAACTAGCCTTTAAGGTTAGTGCTGAAAGAGCTGTGGCCTATGATGTATACAGAATATGTACAATGTTATGAAGAAGTTTGCAGTGTTGTATTTCTCAATGGGCAAGATGTACAGTATAGCATAAACCAAAATGTCATGGTAAGAAGCTGTTGTGTGTATAACCTTGTCTAATCCCATAGTCATCTTACACATGATCCCAGCCTCATGATCAGCTATTACCACTTCCAGTATGCCTCAGCAGATACAATTTCAGTATTTGGACTGACAGTTTCTTTGAGAAAGGCCTTGAAAATTTTCCTAGAATTAACCTTGGTGGTGACTAGGTGGTAATGAAAACATAATAGTACTTGAATATTTAGAGCCTTAAATGATGGGTATTTACTTTGTAACCAAAACTCCTAATATTATTACTTTCTGATAACTTGTATAATTTAAGAGCATTCTTATGACAAATAAATAAATAAATAAATATGTTTATTCAGGTAAGGTATATACATACAAGTGATGTTACATTAATGGATTGATATATAGATAGAGCTAGTACATACAATGCCTAAAGCCACTATTACGCAATGCGTTTCGGGCAAGAAAAACATTAATATCGAGAACTTAATACTAATTGAGCATAAAGAATAAAAAGTGTTGAGAACAAATGCAAATAAAGATAAAAAAAAAGGGGGAACATGACTGAAAAAGCAGCACAAATACAATAGGTTGACAAACAGTGTTGATTAAAAAAAAGAAAATAACAGACATGGGTTGACAATAGAGGAGTGAGGTAGGTTACAGGGAATTTATTAGGTAGTGTTTAGTTTTTATCTTAAACTGGTTGAGAGAGGTACAGTACAGTCATTAACATGGTTGGGAAGGTCATTCCACATTCTGGGCCCCTTGATTTGTAGAGCATTTCTAGTTTGATTAAGTCGTACTCTAGGAATATCAAAACTGTATTTATTTCTGGTGTGGTGCTCATGGGTTCTGTTACAACCTTCTATGAAGCTTTTGAGATCAGGATTGGCATTATAGTTTAGCGTTTTATATATGTATAATACACATGAGAGAATGTGCAGTGACTTAATGTCTAACATATTCAGAGATTTGAGTAGGGGTACCGAGTGATGTCTGGGGCCAGAGTTGGATATTGTTCTAATAGCAGCTTTGTGTTGGGTAATTAGAGGACGTAAGTGATTTTGGGTAGTAGAACCCCAAGCACAAATACCATAGTTGAGATATGGATAGATAAGGGAGTAATAGTCACCAGGGCAGGGCGTGGTACATAATATCTGATCTTAGAAAGAATGCCCACAGTTTTTTAAACTTTTTTTGATATATTTAGAATGTGTCCCTGGAAATTCAGCTTGTGGTCAATGAGAATGCCAAGGAATTTGCCATCTAATTTGTTACAAATTTGGGTATTGTTTATTTTGAGATTTATTTGACTAGAGGATTTATTGCCAAACAGAATATAGAAAGTTTTGTCAATGTTAAGGGTGAGTTTGTTGGCAGTTAGCCAAAGATGGACTTTATTTAGCTCAGTATTTACTGTGGCATTTAGAGCAAGAGGGTCAGGACTGGAGTAAATGAAGGTTGTGTCGTCAGCAAATAGAATTGATTTGAGGTGTTGGGAGGCATTAGGAAGGTCATTAATGTAGATGAGAAAGAGGAGAGGGCCAAGTATGCTGCCCTGAGGAACACCAATGTTGATGGGTAGGGTGGGAGAAATTGTATTATTCACATATTGGAGCCTGTCAGTAAGGTAGGATTCGAGGTATTGTAGGGAGTGTCCTCTGACTCCATAATGATGTAATTTAAGAAGAAAGTTTTGGTGGTTGACAGTATCAAAAGCTTTACGCAGGTCCACAAATAACCCAACAAATGTTTGAATAAATTTAAAGGAATGTTTGCATAACTTGGATGCTATTGATAACTGGCTAAGTAAAAAGATTAATTTCAAATAAATGTTTGTCATACAAAATCAAGATTTATTTCAAATACTGTACTGTACAACAAAATATTTATTTTCTGTATTTTGCCCAAAATGCTGTGCGTATTAGTGGATTTAGGTATACTGTAGTACATACTGGTTCTATCTATTAATCCAACATTTTGCTTGTAACTAACTTATTCTGTATGTATGTACTTTTACCTAAATAAACTATTATTATATGTACAGTATATTATTTTATAAATATTGTGTACATCTGATGGAAGAAATTAAAATTTTGTTTAAAAGGAAGTAAATCTTTGTCATAAATAATAAAATTATTTTATAATGTGACCAATGCTCTAATAATAATAAATTGTTAAATTGTTTCAAAATATTTATACAAAAGACAAATAAGACCAGGAAGCAGGAAATGAGTAATACTGTAGTAGAGAATACCATGTAGAAGAAAAATTTGTAAGAGATAAGTGGAAAGGGAACGATATTATTTGAGAGGTAGAAAAACATGATGAATGAAGAGAGAGGAAAGTAGGTGGAGAAAAGTGTGGGACTTGGGCGAGAGAGATTAGGGTAGAAGAGCAGGGACTCAAGGTGGTAAATGTGATGAACAGTGAAAGAGTTGCTGAGAGCCTTACCAGGAGCAAGACGATGGAGTGCTGGAAGCATGGAGAGAAGCGGCAAGCCCTGGATCATGGAGGTGAGCTGCTGGCGGGCAGCCTCCACCTCGGCGGAGAGGGCAGGAGAGGCGTGACCCCGGGGCGTGGAGGGAGCCTGGGTGGGTGGAGAGGGCGTGCACGCCTCTTCCTTCATTACGGTGTCTGTCACAGGGCCGGGTTGGGGGCTGGGGGAGGAGGACCCTCGCTCACACTTCACCTGCTGAATGATATATCTATTCAATACATTCTCCTAACATTCATCACACAATCACTATTAGTAAGTATCCTTATACCTTAACATACAATATATCAAGATGTCTAAACTCTATATACAATAATTTAATTTAGTCTTTTTATAATATAAAAATAGTCAATTAATTTTGAACACAAATCAATTTGAGGTGTGACACTCCTGAGCACCAAATCGACCTTGGCAGAAACTGGGAGGCGGTACTCCTCCTGTTTACGCATCAGCAGTAATTAAGACATTTACCAGTTTTGTCTTGGGGTTGTGGGTGAAGTGCGATGGAGATGAGGGCACGGACCTGCTGACAGAGGTACCAGGTGTGGGGGTCGTGCGCCCTTCTTCACCGTCTCCTCCAGATACACTCAACCTAGAAAAAAAACAAAATCTTTTCCAAGTTGCCAAGAAAGTTACACAAGAAATGACAACATGAAAGATGCATATTTACAATACTAGGAGAAGAAAGTTGTCATGTAAGGGTACATTTTATCGTTCATAATAAAGAAAAGTTACCTATAGACTTAACAAGAAATGCCGAGCGAGATTCACACACAGATTCATAACCCAATCACACCTCTGGGAAACAACCTTTATATTAAGATCGCTCAAGATAACTAGTATTTGCTTAACCTCACTTATATAAACAATCTGCCCAATATTCCTACAGGTACCCAGGTCAAGGATACATTGCACCCTGTCCCGCTGCAATCTGCTGGAGACCAGGATGTTTTCTCCTTAAGTGTGTACAGGAGCAAATGACTTCTTACTCCTCCTGGCAAGCCGAGATCTTTCCCTTCCCATAGTTCATGGAAAGCCATTCCTACTAGTTTTCCACGGAACACGACCTGCCAATCGGTTTACAGCCAGGTACCCAATTACAGCTGGGTGAACCGGACGAACAGTTAAGGATTGGATCCCAGCCCATTCTCCCTGGCCAGGATTCGAAGTCGCTGAGGAGTCATGGGGGCAAGTGTGTTACCACTACGCCACGAACAAAAAACAGAAAATACATTAACAGTTAAAAAGAAGGCTTTAGGAGCAAGCCATCGACATAATTTATAATACATTGCTGTTGTTCCCACACAGTGTATATTCACAGCTAGCACCCTGCTGACTTGTCCTCTGTTGATAGGCTAGTCCAGGTACTGTCAGTAACGACCATAAAATAGGGCAACAACAGACGAGAGGAACCTAGATGAGGGAAGTAGGAATACTGGCTTAGACTAACATAATTTACTAACTGCCCTGTCTATCCATTTCTTTGACTACCTTACCCATCTTGTAGTGCCTTGTTACCATTGTTTTCCCTCCTTCCCCCCCCCCATTCTCTAGTTGTTTGTCTCCCTCTTAGACCATTGTTTTCTTCAACAATACATTAATTTTTGTCTCTCCAACACACACTATGCCTTCCATTTTCTATACCTTTTTCCATTGCTTCGTTTAGCCCACCTGTCAGATACTATTCAACTGGTAACGGATGCCAAGTCATGTGGGAATAATAGGGAATGACATTGCAGACGAAGCTGCAAAACTTGCAACTAAGAAATGTAAACATTTACATACTAGAGAGTCTATCACAGAAAGTACAGTAATTAGAAATAGAGCAATGCAGAAGATGTACAGTGACCACAACACAGCATTTGTAACATCAGGATCTGCAGGTTGATACAAGAATTCAACCAACCATGTTTGATGAAAGGGAGTATTGACTATTGCCCTTGGAAAATGGGCAAACTGTTAGTGTGGGACTACACGTGTGTATCCACCCTGGCTGAAACTTATGTACACTTCGTTGCTGATGAAGCAGGTGGGGCGGCCAACCACAGAAAAACAGCAAAATCACTCAAGTACAGGCGACCAGAAGGTCAATACCTCTTTGTTCCCATAGCGTCTGAGACGCATGGCCCCTGGGACAAGAGTTCCTTGGGATTTCTCAAGGAATTGGGCTCCAAGCTCATTGACGTCACCAGAGACCCAAGGGCTTCCAGTTTTTTGTTTCAGCACCCTAGTGTGGCGATCCAGAGAGGGAATGCCTGCTGCATCCTCGGTTCCTGTCCGGAAGCGGAAGATCTTCAAGAGATCCATAACCTTTAGGCATTTTTTGTATCAACCAATGTATATCCTGTAACCTTTAAATACACACACACACAAAAAAACGAAGGGGGTGGAAGGAGAAAAGCACACAGAAACTGTATTGGAGGGGACCTAAACATTCCCTCTAAAGCGTTGTGTGGTTTCCTCCGAGACTAAGGGTCCCCCTTCCAGCCAGAGGTTGTACTCCCTCCCTTTTGAAATATATATATATATATATATATATATATATATATATATATATATATATATATATATATATATATATATATATATAATATATTATATATATATGTATGTATGTGTATACAGGATATGTGTAAGCTCGTCAGAATTACATTTCAGCTTTGTAAACGCATATTAGTGAACTATGTAAATTAACACCTGGAACACTGTTTATGTAGGACAGACGTAAATCTGTGTATTTATGTAATTATGTATGTAGGTTAGAATATCATTTTAAAAGCACTACAATCACCTGTGGTTGGTTGATCAATAAATCACTGAACTATATGTTTAACAGATCTCCAACCCTGTCCATGACGGACAGAAGAAAATGTATATATACTGGTTAGCATTGTAAATGTGTGGCCATGTCTGTGGTAGAAAAAAGTGATGGTCCTATACATTATAATGGATTTTGAAAAGGGGCAAAACAGGAGAGGAGGATAAATATCATTACAGACGCTGACACCTTGAAAAACATTGATAACGAGGGGTTTATGTGTGGGGGGGGGGGAGGTTGTAGTTCACTCGTATTATCGAGGCCTTGACAACTGCAGCTGTTGTATAATCACCTCGTATGACACAACAATCAAAATGACCTTCCATGTAATATGAAGTACACTATCGAATGAAGCACAGAATGTAATACCGAATATTACCAATGAAAGCAACATCAAGTTTAATGTTACCAATGTAAACAGCGTGTAGATCGGCCAGGAAGTTAACAGCCTTGAGGAGCCTGGCGCGTGGCTTCATAATTTACCAGTAGATAGAGCGGGGGAGATGTTCGGGTTCTATTCGAGATGAACAGTCCGTACACTGTGTGTGTTTTATATATACACATCAACATCAAGGCAATGTTGGGCTTGGTAGAAAGAAATAAGCCAAAGGAAGGGAAAATGAAGAGGCGGAGGGCATTTGGAATTTTCAAGTATTTAAAGTGAGGCCTGTTTACTATTTAAGTTTATAATTTGATATTTCATGTTCTGTTGCTTAAACCTTTACTAGATGAAATAGTTGACCACATAACCCGAATGCACTCGGGCATAGTGTTGAATAAGTTAATAAAGACACTCGTGCTATTGTAGCGTGGTGGTACAGTGGTACAGCACTCTGTTACAGCACTGATGACGTCCGAACACTTCCGGAACAAGTGTTTCGCTGACGACTTCTGTTCGAACCACAACGTTGTAAATGCTTCACCCACGTACTACAAATAATCGCCAACAGAACCTAAACATCTAACCTAACCAATGCCTAAATATGCACAACATGCTAATAAATAATATTAATTTATATTTGAGAAAATTCCTGTTTTGAATGAACAGCAAGTTAAAAATTGATAAATACGTGTTTGGGGCCGACCACTGGATGGAATGGACTTGGTCTGAGGCCGGGTTGCCTCTACCGCAGCCTGTCTCGCCGGACCTGTCATGACTCGTTAAATATTATTGCCGATTCCAACAATATTTGAAGAACACTTTTAATATGTGAACCAAATTTTATACAATTTCAAGGATTTTAATGTATACATACATTTAGAGAAAATATCTGGTATATCCATCCTTGGTTATCCATGTAAAAGTTCATAAATTTATGTTATCCGTTAATTTGTGGCAGGTGGCTGCAGGTAATGAATCCCCCCAATGGTGAACATTCCAATTGTAAACTATATGAACAAGAGCTGGGACACACTCTCCAACACTATATCTGTGATGACCCTGTTATCAGTGACTTCAGACCAAATAGTATGAGGTACTCTAAGCTCTGTAATTACTTCATACACTCACGAATATTGGAAGACATTCTTGGGTTGTACCCAGAGTTTGCTAGTACAGGCTAGTAGAGTAGACTCGCATGTAAGCCTCTCTCCTGATTCCATGTATGACTAACCATCCTGTGAGATGGTGATATTAGATAAACTCGTAGCTAGTTTTTTTTATCTACACTGCAATCTTTCATATAGAATATTGCAGCAGCACAGAGCTGTGTAAACCTAAAATTGTCAATCATACTAATAAAAACATACTTTTTCTTTCTTGCCATAATCAAAGAAAACTACAATGTAAATAGGGGTAAATCAAGAAATATACAGGTATTGTTAACCTTAGGGATTTATAAACATTAATTCACAAGCGTTGATACCAAATGCTCCGTCTTTTTTTCTTTTTTTTAGCGTTACCCATATACGTATCGGTTCTTGCAATTGTTTTTTACACGCAGAAGTTGTCGCCAACTCATGTCAGTCTGTCATAATGGAGGTCTTCGGTCGTGTCAGCATCTCAATAATGGTGTCTTTGGTCGTGTCACCGTTTCATAATAGTGTTTTCGGTAGTGTCAGCGTCTTATAATGGTGTCTTCATCTCATGATAATGCATTCGACCGTGTGCTTAATATCTTCATATTTCTAGCGCCTCGAAAGGAGTTTCTACAGTGATGGCTACCCCTTCAGTAGCCTAATAAGCGTTCAGTAGCCTAACAGTCAGCGATGTTTTGGTCTTGTAACATGTTCATCCACGTACTTAACTGGTCATAATCAGTCTTCTGATTTACTCTAATGTTATGCCCGAAACTTTTAGCAGTCTAGTGGCCTTAAAATAGAACTTTGTATTTCCTTGTTGTTATTAATAATGTTAAAAACTATTTCTGTACTGTTGCCTAAACTACAGATTCTATATTATAGAAGTCTGCCAGCCATCATTGAGCATCACCTTTATATCTATACAATTTGTTATATTTCTTGAACATCTCACATATGCTGGCTTAACTTGTCGTTTAGTATTAAGTGTTTACCCCATTATGGCTGTAATTTTTATATGAATTCTAGGTTTTGTCCGAAAGGCATAGTAGTGGCTTTATTTAATTCGCAACTCCTGTACCTCCAAATATACCTGTCTTTTGTCCTTTGTATTTGTACAACCAGACCATCACCAGAGAAGTCTTAACAACACAGAAATCATCGATAGATACAGCGATAGCAGGCGGCTCGACATCAGCGAGGCACTACACATCAAAAAGTCAACACCAGCCAATTAATGCACAACTATATTCTACCCACTTCAAGACTCCGTACCAATATAGAAGCATCAAGTGGAAGTATGGGCTCATAGGCCCTTTGCAGTTACTTCCATTCTTCCCTCTCATTTATCCAATTAATACCCATTGTTCCGTGTTCTGTCTTGTGTTGGTCAAAAGTTTGTTCACCTCATCCAAAACTATTGCAACTTATCACCTCACCGAAATGCGAGTATATAAGACAAGCTGTTTAGTGTTAGCATTAAGTAAATCTCTGTTTAGTGTTTTCAGGCTACAGTTGTGTGTGTGTGTAAACTAAAGTCTTTGAAAATGTAATAAGTTATTACGAAACGCGTTCAAGCGTCGCGTCAGACTAGAAATAAAAATGAATTTTGGAGAATTGATTTTTCAATTATCATCGACAATAAAAAGAAACTTAAGAAATATTGAGAAAATTCATGTTAGAATTATTAATCTTACTTTTTCGGTCATATTTAACAACATATGTTTACAAGAAAGACTGCTACCAAAATATACGATATATATATATATATATATATATATATATATATATATATATATATATATATATATATATATATATATATATATATATAATTAATATATTTTAATATATTTAATTAATATATTAATTATATAGTAATATATTTTCTCTAATTTTTTTTTTATGAAATGATAAAGCTACCCATTTCATTATGTATGAGGTCAATATTTTTTTATTTGAGGTAAAATTAACGTAGATATATGACCGAACCTATCCAACCCTACCTAACCTAACCTATCTTTATAGGTTAGGTTAGGTAGCCGAAAAAGTTAGGTTAGGTAGTCGAAATGCAATTCATGAAAACTTGGCTTATTAGGCAAATCGGGCCTTGTACAGTAGGCTGAGAAGTGCGTTCTGGCTACTAGGTACGACATATATATATATATATATATATATATATATATATATATATATATATATATATATATATATATATATATATATATATATATATATATATATATATATATATATATATATATATATATATATATAATATAATCAATAAAGTATTACTATTATATATTAAGTAATAAAAATAGGGCCGGTTTTACAAGGGATTTTCTGTGATTCATTCTCCCAGCGGTGAAAAAGCGCTAGCGCTGTTTGGGGTAATGTTCTACCAACTCACTCCCGTTGTATCAAAATTTTGCCATTGGTGCTTGAGCTCTTAGGTTCAAGTTCAAGTATGTTTATTGAGATAAGAAAAAAATATATATCAAAGGGATAGAGATGTATTTCCCTACACACTCTAGCTCTTGGGCTACAACTTTCAACTGTCGATCAACGAGTATATACAGGTTCCGAATCCAATTGGGCGCTGTCATTCTTCCACCCCCCTGAACGGTTAGTACGTCGGTTCACTACTCTCACACTGAAACAGACACCACTATAACCCCTGACATTACGATAACACCTAACATTACTATAATACCTAACATTACTATAACACCTGACGTTATTGAAACACCTGACGTTACAATAGCCCCCGTCGTGTCAGGTGTGTAAGTGTAGTGTCATTGTTTCTGTTCGATGTTGTCGCTTAATGTATATATATATGTCGTACCTAGTAGCCAGAACGCACTTCTCAGCCTACTATGCAAGGCCTGATTTGCCTAATAAGCCAAGTTTTCATGAATGAATTGTTTTTCGGCAACCTAACCTACCTAACCTAACCTAACCTAACGTTTTCCACTACCTAACCTAACCTATAAAGATAGGTTAGGTTAGGTAGGGTTGGTTAGGTTCGGTCATATATCTACGTTAATTTTAACTCTAATAAAAAAAATTGACCTCATACATAATGAAATGGGTAGCTTTATCATTTCATAAGAAGAAAATTAGAGAAAATATATTAATTCAGGAAAGCTTGGCTTATTAGGCAAATCGGGCCTTGCATAGTAGGCTGAGAAGTGAGTTCTGGCTACTAGGTACGACATATATATATATATCACCTCCCGTTGAATTTATGTCTACGGAGTTCGCCTTGAGAATGTGTTCACACACACGAAAGTGCTCGGATATTTTACCTTCCCTTGTGTTCATTTGCGTATATGTGAATCACGCGTTATAGTTGTGGTAATGTCTTGTCATCCACTATAATATCCTCACATGCGGCAGTCATCTTGTTCCAAGGGATAGCTTCAAAACTCTGCCTACACCAAACAGTACTTCCTTCTATACAGTCATACTAGAAGGCATACTACACTATACCCATTCCCTTACCCCAAGCTACTGCCGTCAGCACAAGTCCCGGAGGAAGTGTTCGTTTATAACGTACCTGTCGGACAAGCTTCGCACTGTGGTATCGATGGCTTCCTTCAGATCTTTATCTACTGGACTTGTGGCTCGCGAAGACTCCCTGCCTGCTGCTGCCTCATCCCCAACGCTGCTCTCTGACTGGCTGGCCGAGGGTGGTGACGCTGCGCCTTCCCTGCCTGCCGATTGGTCAGATTGTGGTGACGTCATTAAGTCACTAGGCGATTTCTCCCCGTCGCTGTCCCAATCATCATCTCCTGGAAAGGGAAAAGGAATACATTAACAATCATTACCGTGCCTCGACTCGGGGATTTATACTAGCCTACGCCAGTCACATCTTAAAAGGTATTTTATCTGGTAATAGTGCTGGAACCTGGGCCGGATGGTTCACATGGGTCAAACAATATTACAATATTACGAAAGCATGCTTATTTGGCTTTAAATAATCTTAATAACTCATTGAAATTGAAATAAGTTTATTGAGGTAAAATACACACAAAGGGATGAGGTAGCTCAAGCTATTCTCACCCCGTTCAGTACATCGTGTTAATACATATACACACATAACTCATAACTTGTAATCCAAAATATGATACCTATAGTGTTGGTGGTATGTTGCTCCCCCCCCCCTCCCCCCCCCCCTCAGAGTAATCCGTTTTTGGTACTAATTTTGTTAAAGGTCCGAGAAAAAAAAGAAAAAGAAACAATTGCTGTATCATATTACTTCTATGTACAGTACTATATTAGGTCTAATATTGCGTACGATAGGCCTAGGATTGTATATTTTGGCGTAGACAAGGTTAGGTTCATGGTTGTGCATTTATAGCCCTTGAGAATTTCAATAGTACAAAATATGAACTTTTTAGAAACTACATATTTTGTAGACGATATTTATGGGTGTGATCAGTTGTGGATAATAACCCTATATCCAGTCACAGGTACAGTATAAGAGAGGTGATTGGTGGAGCCAGTGACCCCCCTTGAGGGCCAGGACTCTCCAAGCACTTGAGTGATTGATTGATGAAGATTAAGCCACCCAAAAGGTGGCACGGGCATGAATAGCCCGTAAGTGGTGGCCCTTTTGAGCCACCACTTTTGAGATCTGTGGAGGTGCGACTGCACCCTGCGTGACGGGAGACGTCTCCCGCGGACCAAATGGACACTTGAGTGACCAGCGTCTTATACTTAATACGAAACCTGTACATCTCTCCTCAATCGTGGCGGCTTTGTATTAAGTAAACAGTTTACGAGCTGGGGACGCTGGGAGCTGGTTCTCGGGCTGAAGTTATTATTGTAAACCTCGAAGCGCTCCGGAGCTCGTAAACTGTTTAATAAATGTAAACTAAACCGCCATGACTGTGGGGAAGATGTACAGGTTTCGTGATTGGACACATGAGTGTTTAATGATTCCTGGCCCCTGGTCTGTCTGGGGCTCGAACAGTCTAAGCCTGGCTGTCTCACCTTGAGAGCTCTGCCGGCTTAACCGTCTCCTCCTGTCAGGACGTGCACATTTGTACAATTAAAAATATTTTTAATAATCATAAAAAAAATTCAATTTTAAAGTCTTGAAACAGGTAAAAATAATATAAAATACCACTAGGCATTTAAACACAAAATCTTTCTTAGTCTTTTACAACTTAAAAGGGGAAGGTAGGGGGGGGTTAGACCTTGATTAGTGCGGTGATGGGTAGTCCTTGTATAGTACTCACCTAGTTGTGCTTGCGGGGGGTTGAGCTGCAGCTCTTTGGTCCCACCTCTCAACTGCCCAAGAAGTCCACTGCGGGCTCATCGTGGCCCCGTGCTACTTGGAACTGTGTTCCCAGTGGCTGAATCTAAAACAACTCTCAATCAACTCTCAATCTGTATAGATTCCCCGAGCTTCTGGAGCTCTTATCACATCAATATTTGAAACTGTGTATGGAGTCAGCCTCCACCACATCACTGCCTAATGCATTCCATTTATTAACTACTCTGACACTGAAAAAAGTTGTGTGTAATGTCTGTGAGTTAGTGTGGTGTGATAGGGGGGAGAAAATGCATGGAGGGGGTGAAGGGGGAGGAGCAATGTTGCACAACTGGGTGCAAGACAGAGCTGGTGCTGAAGGTGAAGTGGGTTGCAACCCACTTTCCCTCTTCCCCATCACCCCTTTCCCCTCCCCTTCCCTTCCCCTTCTCCAGTAACACCCTTCCCCCCCCCCTCGCTCTTCCGTACCGTCTCTCCCCCTCCCCAGTCTCCATACCACAGTGGTTAGGCCTACTCCCAACAACCAACCCAACCCAACCAACCTACTCATCGTGTCAGCAAGGCGGACAGCCCGCCTGCTTTCATAACTCTCACTGTATTTCCCCACTTCTAAACTTCCCTTCACTTATGACTCTCTATCCACTTTACTAAAAAAAAAATGGCGTACCATGTACATAGTACGCCATGTACACCAAGTGGTGTACGGTGTACATTAACAGCTACCCACCATCTCTCGCTTAACAATCCTCGCATTTTATTTCTTTCTCAGATTGTACACCAATCTCTCCCTCCCTCCCCAACAATACCCTCCCCCCCCACCCCACTCCTGCTTTTCACTTAGTCAGGATATAATCTTATCTTTTGGTTGGCCAGATTATCTCAGTACAAGAGCACCAGCCACCCCAGCTCCCCTCCCCCCCCCCCTCTCTCTCTCTCTCTCTCTCTCTCTCTCTCTCTCTCTCTCTCTCTCTCTCTCTCTCTCTCTCTCTCTCTCTCTCACCGAGGCGCTGTTGTAATAAAACCAGTCTGTTAAACTTGGGGTTTTGATGCGATTCCTGGTAGTTAGGTTTATATATTTTCCAAAGCCTCACGTGGGCCAGCGACCATTGTCTCTGACTTTATGCTTGAATAAAAGCAATGGACCCGACTCAAGTAGTCAGTGAAAGGGGAGTGGACTACAGGAGAGGGGAGTGGACTACAGGAGAGGGGAGTGGACTACAGGAGAGGGGAGTGACCTACAGGAGAGGGGAGTGGACTACAGGAGAGGGGAGTGACCTACAGGAGAGGGGAGTGGACTACAGGAGAGGGGAGTGACCTACAGGAGAGGGGACTACAACAGTAACAGAGCACCTGGGAAGTGTGCCATAGGAGGGAGAACTTAGGGGCAAGACAGTCCTGGGAATGACGGGGCGAATTCAAGATCTCCCACAATACCAAGAAGCAAAAACGAAAATTTGGAGGGAGTGGAAAAATAAGAGTAGAGAAGAAAACCATTATAGATACAACTTCGCTACAGAAACATAAAGAGGTTCAGCAAAGTTACGCAAATGATACTGCATCCAAAGCAAAGAAATAACCTGTTATCTAGTCACGAAGAAGAATGACAATAAATGACAAAGTGACTAGATTGTGCAAGAGGCGAGGAGAACACACAGAAAATGACAATGAAATATGTGAGGATTGTACTGTCAGTTTGCCTGGTGCCTTCACTACTGAGCCGAACAAGCTCTTGGTGCTAGAAGAGTAACCCTAGACGAGAGACTAACACACACTGAGATAACAGCTGAGGAAATAATGAGACAACTGACACGAAAATAAGTTATGGGACCAAATATGTTGTTGTTTAAGATTCGCTACCTGGAACAAAAAGTTCCAAGTAGCACGGGCTATGGTGAGCCCGTAATGGGACCAAATAATATTTCACCGTGGACGCTAAAAGCTGCACAACCCCCTCAGTATATCTCATGCTCCGGTCTTTAATGTATCAACTGAGCAGTTTTTCTCCAGCTGACGGAAGATGGTGAATGTCGTGCCAATATATAAGAAAGGAGATAGTGCGGAGGCAACTCCATGACAAAGTAACAACAACATGGCGAGACAGAAGATTGGACAAACTGTGTATTTCTGGACTGTTAAAAAAAAAAAAGCCCCTGACACAGTGTCTCACAAGAGAGTACTGCATGAAGGTGAGAGGCAGGCAGTGGATGAGCACTGTCATGGGTAAGTGTACCTAACAGACAGAAAGCAGATAGTCAAGGTGAGGGGTAAGAAGTCAACCTGGCGTACTATAGGCATCCCTGCTGGTACCCATATTATTCTCATTGATGTTAATGACCTAATCACGAGAGTGGACTCCTGTATGTAGATGTTTGTGGATAATGCAAAAATTAATGCGAAGGGAAAAGTCGAGACAGATGAAGATCCAAGATACTTCAAGATGACTTAAATACAAGTTGCAGTGGTGGTCCGGGAATTGGTTATTAGAATTCAACACATGCAAGTGTAAGGTGATGGAAATGGGACCATGTGCCAGGAGACCAGAACACAATGAAGGAAAACCTACCTCCCTGTAACGACCGGAGAAAGAGACCCCGAGAGTGGACACAACACCAGACCCAACTCCGGAGGCTCATATATACAGGATAACATCAGCGGCATACTCTACCCTATCAAACGCCAGAATATCATTCAGGGACATAAATAAGGAGACATTTAGATCACTGGATACGGCCTACGAGAGACCAGTCTTACAGTATGCAGCCATATTGTCTTCAGTAACACATAAGAACACTAGAAAAGGTTAAGAGATTTCCAACGAAACCCGTCCCGGAATAGCGAGGGATGGAGTATGAAGACTGGAAGAACTAGACGTAGAACGAGAGAGAGAGAGAGAGAGAGAGAGAGAGAGAGTACTGGGGAACTTGAATGAACTAAAGGAGCAAGTTCTAAAAGTGAAGGCCATTCGAAATTTCAAAAGTAGATATGATAGTAGAATATTGCCATTGAACTAGACAACCAACGGCAGGGTTCAAGCGCTATAGTTCGAGCCTGCAAGCACATATATACACAACCCCCCTTTTACTCTCTCTCTCCCTCCCCCCAGCCTCTCTCTCTCCCTCCCCCCCCCCAGCCTCTCCCTCTCCCTCTCGTTGCTTACACACACACACACACACACACACACACACACACACACACACACACACACACACCAAGAAACCTCTACATAGGACCACACTATCAAGACAAACTACTGATGACAGCACCTACCTCACACCCCTCCCCCCTTCCCCCTCACCCCTGCCCCCTCCCCCTCACCCCCTCCCCTGACCCAATCCACAGAGAACCATATCGCGTTATCAACAAGTGCACTATCGCACTGCACCTCATCTATGCCGGCTGAGGACACCTGCACTCCAGTCTACCTGTACTGAACATTATCACTTGATAAAGAGATAAGTACTCAGGGCCATCTCTCCTCTGTCCTCGATACACCCAGGGCTCCCTCATGGTGTG